TCTCTCTCTCTCTCTCTCTCTCTCTCTCTCTCTCTCACACACACACACACACACACACACACACACACACACACACACACACACACACACGAGAAAGAGAGAGAGAAAGGAGAGAGAGTCAGAGAGTCTCTGGGAAACACTAAAACATTTTTGAAGGACAAAGGGTTAGTCAGCTAATCTCTTCAGCCACTGAGGTGCCAGCTAGAAGCTGAATCAGAGACAAAAGCCGATGAGACACGAGATGTGTCCTTGGGGAAGTCCCCTTCTATTGATAGGACTGGGCACAAGAACAATCATTCCACAGGTGGAACAGAGAAAACTCAGGGTAGTACCACAGCCTCCCAGAAGAGGGAGTTAGAGAACAACCTAGTCAGAAATGGCGTTTGCTAGCAAGCTCAGTTTCACTTCTCTCCCTGTGTCCTCTGGGACGATGGGGAATAGTTCATCAGCATCTTTCTCACAATCACTGCTTCCATACATCATAAAGGCCAGCTCGACTGAACAAAGAAGTCACTGAGGACGTGGTTCTCATCTGAATATCTTGCTGTCACTAAAAGTCTACAAGGCAGGGCTTGGAACCTGTCCAGCTTGGCTGACAGGATTTCTCAGCACTGGTCATGCTATTCCACGGCTATGGGTGGCTGTGTGAATGCGGCACTGAATTTCTTTCCTCCACAGGCTACTTTAAGTGCTGACCTGGCCTTCACCTCTCCTGATAGTTTGTTTTGTAGCTTGAAAAGCAAGACTCAAATAAGATTCAGAGTGGTCCCTAAGTGCAAAGAGAACAGTGCAACCTAATTATGTGCAACAAAGTGTCCAGTCGGAAGCAGCGCATCTCTTTCTGTTACAAGCAGGGCTTCAGAGGAAAGCACATGGGACAGTCTACTGCCAGAGCCAGCCTTGTGAACAGGTGGCAGGGCAATCAACGAACAGCTGTGAGTGAGCCTCATGCTCAAAAGGCTTCTTTGACCAACACCCTCTCCCATGGGCCAGCTTTGGACACCACGGTCTCCCAAGATAAAGATCATCACTGTCCTTCTATTCACTGAAAACAAGATTCCTGAAAACTATTAAATACAACCCAGGCCATTCTAGACACGGAGGGACACAGACCTGGTGAAACGTAAGTCTTAAGACATGTGAGTTGTTCCACAAATGTAAGTCTTGGAACAAGTGGGAGCCTGAGTGCATGGCTCCCTTAGAGAAGCGTATTGACTTACTAGGGCCACCACAGCAGAGTACCATAAACTGAGTGGCTTCAACAACAGAACTGTATTTTCTCATCATCCTGGAGTCTTGGTTTCATAGGTGGTTCCTCTGTGTGTGTCTTGGTCTTGGTCTCTTCTGAAAAGAATGCAAGGCATAGGAGATCGGGGCTCTCCTCATTTGACCTTTAGTTACTTCCGTAGAAACCCTATTTCTAAATACAGCCATATTCTAGGGCAGTAGGGGATAAGATTTCAACATACGAACTTGGGAAGGACAAAGTTCAGCTCAGAACAAGGAGTGGGAGGAAATGTGAAATGAGGGAAGGAGGGACTCCATCAGGAATCCACCATCGTAGACAATAAAGCGGGCTTGATCATAAAAGGTTGGGGATGGTGGCGGTGAAGGACTGAAGCCACCACCTCCCTGCTGATGGCTTTCGATCTCAACTATGCAGCCATGACCTCCCTCTCACATTCCACTTCCACATTCCCAGTGGCCTGCTGGACACATGCCACTTGGACAACCTGCCAACACCTTACACAAACAGGAAAATACAAGCTGGACTCACATCTTATTTCTATTATTGCTAGCACCAACCTTCCAGGAATTTGCAATCCTCCCCGATCTAAAATATCACCAAGGCCCTTTGCTCTTAATTTCTCATGTGTCCAGCGTCCATTCCGCTTTTCTAGGGTGGAATGCCATCACGTGTCCTTCAGCCATTGTGGGAACCACCGAAGACATTCCTCAAGAGGTCTCCTGCTCTTTTCTTTTTGTTTAATCTTCCTAAACATGGCTGTTTCGAACCTACCTCTCTCTGCTCTAAAACTTTCCAGGCCTCCCCACTATGACAGGAAAAAGTCTGGACTCTACAGCCCAGCATTCTAAGCCTTCCACAGTTGGGCTCTCATGTCTGACAATCCACTCTTCCCCCTAAACATCCTGAGGAAACAGGGTAACAAGTGAATGGACCCGCTGGCCCAACTCTCCATTCCACAAGATGACACATAAATCAGCCTATTTCCTGCCGTCTTGTCAACATCAGAAGGGTGCTCTGGTGCCCTTCTGGATCTAGCCTGTCTCCCACAACTGCCCCATCTATTCCTGGCATTTCCTAATTGTTGGGAATATCTTATATCTACTTCTCTCACCAGCACTAAACTAGTTAAGAACTAAGTGTAATATTTTTTTTTATATTTTTTAGTATTTATGCTATATGTTATCTTATTCTACATGTGTATGTGTGAGTATGCCTTACTCCTGCTAGCTCTGTGAAAGCAGACACTCTATAATCCTCATGGTACATAATAACAGCTCCAAACTTAGGGTTCGTCACATGCCAGGCACTGTGCTATTTCCCAGCATCATCTTATTTAATTAAAACTTCCATCTGATAAGGGAGGTACTATCATGATCTTCACTTTACAGATGTGGATGTTGCAGATTAAACGGTTAAATAATTTGCCTGAATTAACCTAACTAGTAAGGGCAGGGCTGGGGGACCTGTAAGTCCCGGCTAACAGCACCTTTACAGAGGGAACACTAAGCATGTGCTTATGAATTAATTAAGGCTGTGCTTGCTACCCAAATGAGCAGAATGTGTGGCCCCCATAAATTGCCATATCCTAATCCTAGGAACCTGTAGATACATTAGATTAAATTGCAGAGACGCATTAGGGATGCAAATGACTCTAGGTTTGCTAATCAGGGCACCTTAAAATAGGGAAGTGATCCTAAGCTACCTGGATGGGCCCAATGTGATCATATGGGTCCTTACAAGAGGAAGAGGGGAGCAGAAATCGCTAGCAGGATGATGCAATGTACGAATTTGAGATACCATTGCTGATTCTCAGGAAAGAGGAAGGTGCCCGAACTGGAAACCCTAGAAGACTAAGAAATGGGTTTGCCCCTACAGCCTCACCCAATAAGACGGACTCTGTCAGATTTCTAACCTATGGAAGTGTGAGATTTGATTATTTTAAGCCACCAAACTTGTGGTCTTTAATGAAGGCAGCTAACTCAGGGTCCAGATCCCCAGCCAGATCTAAACTAGCCCAAGAACCAGCATTGACTGCCCTGGGGAAAACTGAGCACCCTGTTCTCTTTGGAACCTACATACCTGCCCCTACCTCCACAACAGCAGAGGCCATGCCACGCCCTGCCTAACCTGTTTCCCAGGCTGTGCCTCTCCCATCCTGTCCCTACAACTATTCGGAAAATGACTTTACCAAGAACGACATGAAACTGAGTGAGAGTCACGCGTTTATGACAAAATTTCCTCAGATAAGATTATTATGACAATCAAAACATGCATGGAATCCTTTTAAAAAATCATTACCAGTGCTTTTCTACCAAAGCATTTCCCATATATTATCTTAGGCGTCTGTGCCAGGCCTTAAGTGTGCATAAGTGGTAGTTTCAAGTGCACACCATGGTTTTTGGATTGCAGCTTTTGAGTCGATTCCAAGAATTTTATTCTTAAGATGCCCAAATAGTACCATGGGGGCGGGGGTGGGAGCAGGGAATGCATTTTTCTGAAATGGAAGGAAACTGCTAGGTCAGTATTGTAGTAAGTGATAGGGAGCAGGCAGGTGACAACTTTCAGCTCCACGCCTTTACTTACTGAGCCAATACTGACCCAGCGGCTTGGCCTAAGTAATTTTCAGCGTATTTAAGTATGTGCAGGCTGTAATAGACCAGCGAGGCTGATACTGGCATTCACATCCTATTTCCTATTGTTTATCCAACTGCCTTTGCTTGCGGTAGGTAATCACCAAGACCGCTCTGCCCCTTCATTCTCCAGTGCACAGAGGACACATTCTAACGTCAGTTTTGTTGTTTATGTTCCTATAGTGACGAAAACAGCTGCCATCCTGCTGTTTTCAGGCACTCTACATCTACATAATCATTTACATGCAGGTTAGGGCTGTGGTTAACACATGAACTTTGTAATTAGACCATGTTTCTTACCCTGACTCCACCTCTTGACCTCAGGTGTGTGTGTGTGTGTGTGTGTGTGTGTATATATATATATATATATATATATATATATATACACATTTCTAGGACCTGGTTCTCTCGTGTGTGAAATGGCAATTTTAAAAGGCTTTTACTTGTTTCGTGTTTTGCTTCTGCTGGCCTCGGTGCAGCTAAGGATGGCCTTGAAATCTTGACGCCCCCACTGACATTACTGGGTGGTGAAGAGCCCTGCCAACTGAACTACATGCCTAACCCCCGAGTGCTTCTTGATAGGCTACAGTGAGGTTTGTGTTCAGATAAGTCCTGGCAAGAGAGCCAATAGCACATGCAAGCACCGCCTCTTGTGGAGTTGCGCGCGAGGCCACTGGAGCCTTTCAGAAGAATGAAACAACTTTGCCCAAGGTCACATATCTGACGAAGGGCAGCGAGTCTGGAGCCAGCTCATTGTATCTGGAAGGCCGTGTACTTTCCACCCGGCCGCGCTATCTCGCGTTCGTCCCCGATTCCTTCGGAGCCACCTGTTCCCATCCTCATCCCAACCCACACGAAGATAAAACAGGACTGACTCCCCAGGAACCAGAGAATACACGGGAAAAAGAAAAAAGAAAAAAGCGCGCGCTCCTTGGCTCGCCGAGCCCGCCACCACCACCACCCCCCCTTCCAAGGAGGAGGGGGGAGAAGGAGGGAGCCGATGCTCGGCTGCACTTCCTCCGCTCCCCTGCACCTGAGCGCCGTCGGAGCGGATCCGCAGCGCGATGCCAACCGCAAGCAGGTGCGCTCGGCCCCGCAGGACGCGTGCGCAGAGCCCCGCGGGACGCGCCCGCAGCCCCGCCCTGGGCGGCCGGGTGGAATCCCTCCCAGCTGGGCAGGAAGGCAGTTGTTTGCTTCCTGGTGGAACGTTCCACTTGAGACGGTTCCACGAGGGCTGTTCTCGCCTCCGACTCCGGGAAGAACTGTAATTAACACAGCAACAAACGCCCACGACGCTAACTGGCAAAGGGAGTGTAACACGAGCCCGCTGCTCCAACCGAATTGGGCCAATTGCTTTCCCTTCTTTGCCTCCCCATTTGGTCTGTTTTGGTTCCGCACTCATCCAACTGGAGCGTTTCTTAAAACATGTCAGTGGCTGGTGTTTGTGTTTTGAGTTGAACGGTTTCACACCCGTCGCTGGAGATGGGGCTCGGCAGGCTGCTGGGCTGGGGACTTGCTTTCTGCGAGCGTCGCGAGCGTCAGGTAGAAAAGTTCAGAGAGAGGCTAGAAGGATGCGAGGGAGGAGGAGACAGCGGGGCCTCACCGCCTCCAATTGTCTGGAGTTGGTTCTGTCTCCTTCCGACCAAGACAAGTAGAACCGGTCTGCCAGCTCTCCAACCGGAGAGGGTGGGGCGTCCCAACGCACCTGGCAGCCACTCTGGGCCTCGGGGACGCCGCACATGGGCGGTTGAGGAAGGAACCCGGGGCGGACTCTCGAGTGGGAGGGAGGGGGTTCTGCAAACAGCACTCAGGTCTACAGGCTTGCCCTGCAGGGGCTGCGGTGGCCAGGGTCCAGAGACTGTTATGACTCTTTGATCTGTGTGTAAGGATCTGAGTTGTGATGCTTTGGTTTTATTTAACTTTGCATCTGCCAAGTATGGTCCACTGCCCAGCAGCTTCTTGAGAACTGGTTTCAGACAGAATCCCCACGCTGGCTATAGACCCCTTTTCCTGGCTTCAGGCTCCTTTAACAAGATTCTTTGATCAGCGACCTCTCCTGTCAGCTTACTTGGTTCAACAGTTGACGAAAAGCATCTGGAGCTGGGGCGCAGAACGCCTAGCATGCATGAAGCCTCAAGTTTGACGATCCCCACCACAGCTTAAACCCGGTGTAGTAGCCTAGCTACTCCCATAATCCCAGCACACCGGACAGAATTGGAAGCTGGAAGATCCAAAGTTCAAGGTCTCTGGCCGCACAGTGAGTTTGAAACTACCAGCCCGGCCTGTGTAATATTCCCCTCCCCATCAAAAAAATAAAAGTGTAGACGGTTGCCCTTAGGGATGCTGCAACCTTGGTAAATGCCTGCATCTGTGTGATGCTTAGAAGTAGCTCTCTACTAATTCCAAGGGATAACAGCGAAAGAAAAAGGGGGAGCTTACTGTACAGTTCAGTCTGGATGCGCTCAGAGGCTAGATGTGGAGCCAAAACCCAAACAAGAAGATTCAATAAGCATGAAGTAATAATACAAAAGTTACCCAAAGCAGAAATGCTCAGACGAGCCGCTTAAACAGCATGTGCTACATATTTAATACCCACTGTTCTAAGCAGCGACTACCAAGTGTTTGCACGTCTATAAAGTCATATGTGCCTATATATACACATAGGAACAAAGAATATATAGTGCCTGACACATAGGAGGTGATTACTATTTATTGAGTCAATAGCAGGATCCTCTTATATTCTCCTAGAGTGAAAAAGACCCAAAAAAACAAAAGCTCCTTGCTTTAGACCATATCTGTTCCAAATTTAAAGATTTACCAATAACCAAGAGCCCATTTCATTTGTCGTTTAAACCATTAAGGATGTACATTAGTAGTCATAGGTACATGCCCCTTTTGAACAATGATGAATATTGGGACCTCAGAGGCCACCATAGCTACTTCAGGAATTCTGCTGGATCCTCCCAGTCAGAATAACCCCATGAGCCTATTAAGGGCTCCTAGTACCCTCACAGATCACAGACTGTAACTTTTATAAAGCCATTTTGTTCTTATGAGTTATTGATCTGTAAGCCAAATATTTTCAAGCGAGGCTTCCCTCGGTGGACTGCAATAGCTCCACTCTATTCTGTCGAGCGCTCAGAATTCCTTAACTAGGCACTCAATCATGTGAATTGTGCAGACTGAGTACCAGAGAGATGCCAGGGTGGAGATCTCTCATCACCTGGTGATCAGGAAGATCATCATGATTTTTAAAATTCATTATTTTTCCATCTACTCATTTCCACCTACTTATTTTTTTCCATTTATTTTGATAGTGAATACCACCAGAACAGAGGGTTTTGTTTGTTTGTTTGTTTTGTTTTGTTTTTTTCCTTCTCCTGCTTTGTGATTCTCATGCTTCAAGTGCTTAGGATAGACCCTGGAAAACAACAGGTGTTCCGTAAGTACTTTTACTCCATCTGAACTGAATTGGAAGGAGTTGGTGCTTACCTCAGCAAAGACATATCACTGTATATCCAACATGGTCACACATACCTGCATATGTCTGATGTCAATAATCTTTAACGAGCAATCTGCTTATGCTTTATTTATCCTTACTATTAAAATCAGTACTGTCGGGATGATGCGTTAGAGGCAATGATTGTAAGGTAAGGAGCTGAGAGTGGGGAAGACGTCCAGTAGCAAGTGGTGGTGGTGTGATGGACAGAGACTAGATTGCAAACAAGTGCAAGGACTAACCACCAAACTGAGAACCCAGCCTCGTCAGTTGCTAGCTATAAATGAAACGTTTCTAAATGGCAAGAAGCTCCACTTCTCCATCCACTATAATAACCACAGCGCATACATGCTGGATGCATACTACAAGCCAGGCACTATCCCAGCTATTTCAAATGACCTGCTTCTCACACTGACTTCAGCTGTGTGACATCAGGCACTACTGTTGTCTCCACCACACAGATGGAAACCCAAGGCACACGGAGCTGGTAGTTAGAGAGCCAGGACTCAGAGATCCCAATACTTATAAGTGGGGGCAGGACAAAGGAGCGGGGGGGAAAGGAACTCAACATGTGAATTTGAAAGCAAAAAAGATCTAAGAGAGGAGCCTGCCAAGCTCTCTTTTGTTCTGCTGGACATGTAATCAGCTCATACCTAAGGTGTGTTCCATCATCTTGGTCTGTGGGTCACCAGCAGGCGATTCCAGACCCTCTGAGTGGCTGCACAGGCAGCCAGGGCAGAAATGCCAGGAAGTTAATGCCCAAGCCCTGAGTCAATGGACAGCCAGTGAACAATGCTCTGCTTCTTCCCATGCATCCACAGTCTTTATGGAGGCTTCCAATTGCACCTGTGGTAACCCTTTCTCTGACACACTCTTCGTTAGCTTTGCGTCCCTTTTGCCTCGTTTATCTGCTTTCTGGAATCACCTTCTAAATAAATTCTAGGTCTTAGGGTCTATTTTTGGGAAACCCAGATTTAACCAAGGATTTAGTAATAAGGCACCCAAGCTAATGATGTTAGGTACCTTACATACTGCAGAAAGCTAAGTACAACCAGAGGTGAGCAAGTTCACAGTGTTTGAGGGGCTGAAGCATTTCTGCACACAATACATATTAGCAAACAATAGGAGGGAGGGGTAGAATTGGAAGAAATGGCTGGAATTCCTGAGCCCATTCTACAGTTTCCCCTTCCCTTCCCATGGGAGCTTTCCCTTACCATGACAAGTGCCACCACACTGGAGCAGGACATTCCAATCACATTGTCCAAAACACACGTGCATTCTCTCCCCAGCCCACAAAGAGAGGTCTCTGAATACTGACCACACAGGGGCCTCCAGCTTCCAACAGAACATCATCGTCACATACCCAGCTTCCTGCATGTAACATCCCACCCTCTCTCCATCACATCATCAGGAGAACTGGGCAGAGATAATGCGGGTCTCAGAGCCTGCCATCCTGTGAGTCAAAGGGAGAGGCGTGCTAAATCGTGTGAGAATTGAAGGTTTGAATTCATGTGAGAATTGAAGGTTTGAACAGCACTGGATTGTTTTTGTATTGTTTTGTCTCTTAGACTGAATACAATCTATGGATTATATATACAGGTAGATACAGGAATGGAAGAGTCTACCCAATACAGCAGCAGCTGGAGAAAAGAAAACAGTAATATTAATATACAACCAAACTGAAGTTTTCTGGTTTTTAAGTTATTCTTGTTTCAAAAGGAGAGTTCAACAGAGCCTATCTGGACATGTTATCTAGCAAATAAGTTGAGTTGTCAAGCGCTAATGAAAAATCATTAGGGAAAGGCTACAGGCTTTCTTTGCTGGCCATTATTAGATAAAAGCAAAGCTGAAGTTTCTTTCTTCTCAAATCTCCAAGAAAAGCTGAACAGCAAATACCCAAACTGGAAAAGGAGTCAATTCCGAATATAGTCCACATGACAACTTTATCTGGTACATTTATTCAACATCAGGCATCTTTACATTGAAAGAATTCAAAATCTATTTCAAATGAGAGCTTATCAAACCAAAATCTGATGAAATTCCCCGAGGAATATTGTTAGTAAATTTTTTTTCCTTTATTGATTTTATTAAATTTTCCATTCACTTTACATGACAACCACAGATCCCCCTCTCCTCCCATTCCCCATCCCTCCCCACCCCCAACCCACCTCCCATTCCCACCTGCTCCAAGGCAAGGTCTCCCATGGGGAGTCAGCAGAGCCTGGTACATTCAGTTGAGGCAGGTCCAAGCCTCTCCTCCCTACAGCAAGGCTGTGAAAGGTGTCCCACCACAGGCACTGGCCTCCAAAAAGCCGGCTCATACACTAGGAACAGACCCTGATCCCACTGCCTGGGGGCCCCCCAAACAGTTCAAGCCAAACAACTGTCTCGCCTATCCAGAGCACCCAGTCCAGCACCGTGGGGGCTCCTCAGCTATTGGTCCACAGTTCATGTGTTTCCACTAGTTTGGCTGGCCATCTCTGTACATTTCCCCATCATGATCTCGATGTCCCTTGCTCATAGAATCCCTCCTCTCTCTCATCGATTGGACTCCTTTACAAAAAGCATTATTGGTTTGTAAAAGTCACCAGCATGTGTCATAGTTCTGGTAGAGCCAGACACTATACTCAGGGGAAAAAGGAAAAGAGAAAGCTTTGATCAGTGGCAATGTTGAGAACCATAAAATTGATAATTAGATTTAGAGCAAAGGCCATGGGAGTCAGAACCACTGTGATGCAATCGCTAATCTGGAGCTGGTTAAAATCCTGGCCTAGCCTCAGCACCAATCGCTATCTTCAGCTGATATAAACTAAGGAACAGAAGACCAGCAAGCTACAATGGAAATGGATAACAATAAAGGAATCTCTTGTTCTTGCCCACTGGCTTTTCTGCTTTTTTTTTCCAGTCACGCAATGAAAAGCATTTGAATGCTACATTAAATGGAAATACCCTACAGAAAATGTATAGGGGAAATATGAGTACATGCATTAATGAGCATCAATTAATAATGGTACTAATTTTTCTACTTAAAGCAGAATTTCCTTAAGCAGAAATATATATATACACTTATACATATATACTTTTAACACTAAACATATTAGAAAATCAAACTCACAAATTTACAGGCTCCTGTTCTATTAAAGTCATGATTGAGTACTTACCATTCCATTCCTTCTGGTCTCCTAGTATCTCAGCCTCTTTCCAAGGTTGGAAGAACATGATCTGCTAGGCCACCTCTCATTGCTAAGCAGACAGCATCAAGTCCCGAACTCCTCAGCCAGGGGTGGACTCACGCACTCCAGCAATCCCCATTCATCAGACGGATCTTGGAGGTGGGTGGTACTGGCAGTAGCAATCATGGCAGCTGGCGCATCGATGCCCGGGATCGCAGCAGTGCAAACTGCAGCAACCGGTGTCCAGAGATGACGTCTTTGCAGCACGCTGTGGGCATTGGTCTCGGCTGGGGGCTTCTCCCACAGATTTGTGAGCTGTCCAGTAGCTTACAAATAAGTTTTTCAGCTTCTAAAATCTCTAGGTTTTTTTGAATGATATAATTTCTACTCAGGATATATTAAGAACTGTAAAATGAATTTCAGCAATTATATCCATTATAATGAAATGAAAATGAAGTTTTATCAAATCCCCTTTGGGATAAGGATGCTGGAAAGGCAGTCCATTTGCCACCGAGAAAATTAAGAGATGACACCAGGAGTCTACAACCTGTATTTTCTGCAAATCTAATTATGGGAAATGGAAGTGACAACTTCCACTTATAAGCCATTCCTCATGTTTCGTAACATTTTTAAAAGCCTCTTAGGGTTTTTCTATTTAATTATTTTGTAATTGATGGAAAATTTATCATTGTAGAGATAGAGGACTCTAAATCCTTCTCGAAGGGCAGAACTTGTTTTAAATTTTTTATTTATGCCTCTGTCATCTCTCTGTCTCTGTCTCTCTGTCTGTCTCTGTCTCTGTCTCTCTGTCTCTGTCTCTCTGTCTCTGTCTCTCCGTCTGTCTCTCTGTCTCTGTCTCTGTCTCTGTCTCTCTCAGTATGTGTGTGTGTGTTGTCCACAGAGTTCAGAAAAGGATGATAGATCCCCTGGAGCTAGACTTCCAGGTGGTTGTGAGACATGGGTGCTGGGAACCAAACTTGGGTCCTCTAGAAGAGCAGCAAGCACTCTTAACCACTGAACCTCTAAGGATAGTATTTCAAACAGAATAAGAGAGGCTTGAGTGAAAACTTCAGGAAGGTGTGCAGGACAGCATGAAATGAGCAAAAGTCAATTTTGTTGGATGTCTTTTTACTAAATGAATTATGCTGTAATTCATAAGGTACCTCTAGGAAAAATTACCAAAATTCTGTCTGGGAACAGTTTTGAAGTAAAACAATCATCATCGGGGCTGGAGAGATGGCTCAGTGGTAAAGAGCCCTGACTGCTCTTCCAGAGGTCCTAAGTTCAATTCCCAGCAACCACATGGTGGCTCACAACCACCCATAGTGAAATCTGGTGCTCTCTTCTGGCATGCAAGGACACTGTATACATAATAAATAAATAAATCTAAAATAATAATAATTTTTAAAAAAAATCATCATCATCATCATCATCATCACCACAACCACCATCAACATCCAACCAAATGCAGCACATAACCAGTGAGTTATAGCACAAGACAGTAATAAAAACAGAAGGCCCAGCAGGACAAACACCTTTCATTAGCGGTCCAAGGTTCCCAACAAACATTCCCTAAGTAATTTTTTCAACAACAGTGGCAATTTTTGATTTAGCATTTTGTAGAAAGCTCTCAGTGTTTTTAGGGTGTTTCATCGACAGCAATCAGAAGTTCTTCTCATCAACCATGTAGACCAGTATCATCCCCATTGTAAAGATAAGCATGGCAGTGAATAAGTAGGCACAGAGAGTGAAGACCACTACTATATGTCTCTTGTAAATCACTTTTCATTTTTCTAATATCATATTTAAAATATAATTTTTTAAAAATAAATTGCCTCATTTTTAACAGCTCTCAAAAACCAAACCAAACCAAACCAAAAAAACCCAAATGGCACAGAGTTGCTTCCACTTTAGACATCAAACCTGAGATTTACACACAGACATAACCATGGATTCAGGGTCCAAAACTAGTAAATCACGGAGGGGGGGGGGGGGGGGGGGAGGGGGTAGCTCAGGAGACAAAGTGCTGGCCTTGCAAGTGTGAGGACAGGTCTTTAGCTCCCCATCACCCACATAAACACCAGTGTGGACAGCAGCAGCCTTGCTGCTACTCCTACTCCAACATTACTACAAGTCCTAGTGTTTGAGAGGAAGAGGGCACAGAGGGTCCCCGGGGCAAGATGGCCAGCTAGACTAGCTGACTTGAGAAGCTGTGAGCTCTCCCGGAGATCCTGCCTCAGCAAATGAGGTGGAGAATAATCAAGAACACGAGACACCAGGCTCTGGCCCCCCACAAAGCACGTGCAAATGCATCCCAAGCACACAACACACACACACACACACACACACACACACACACATACACACACACACACACACTTATATATATGCAAAACCACACAAGAATTAATCTGGCCAGACAACAGGCAACCCCTAGAACAAATAAATCCCTTTCCAAAAGAAAGAGGTCCTCATCAGTGCCACACACATTATAATAAATTTTGCAAAATCCATTCTAATCATGAACAGTTCTGAGCTTATTTTCGAAGTAGCAGACTCATTCAGCTATGAAGACTGTTTTGAGCAGAAAGATGGAATTTGGTACACATAAAAACAAGCGAAACTACCAGATCCCCTGATGCCTTTAGGAGAACCAGTCTCCTTGAGAATAATATGAGCTGATGGGCCTTTGAGAAGGGTAATTCAAAACCAGGCGACCACTTGAAGCAACTTTCAAAACAGAGTCAACTTAAACCCATTTACAAAGGTTTTCATCATACAGGGTATTACTTCACAGAAAATGGAAAAATTAACTGTACAAGTATGTCTTTTTTATTCCCTGTAATTATACTAAACCTTATATTTTCTTTTTATGAGAAAAATGTCAACTGTGTATTTTATTTGTAATTTAATTGAATCATTAGGTGAATGTTAGCAATTATAGCAAAATATGAATAATAAAAAAGAAAAAGTTGTCAGATCATAGTTTGACCTCCTTTTCTTCCTTGCTGCATGAATTTTTGACTATATCAAAGCAAAAATAAATTGGAATTAGTAGCATGCTATTTTCCATTCATCTAACTGACAATTAAGCTAAGTGAAGAAAATTTGGCCTTGAAGTATATAGAATTATTCAACACTAAACAAAAAAGAGCTCAAGCTACTCAGTGTATCTTTAGTGACTAATTTGCAAATAATGGTTTATTACTTTGGAAAAGGCTGCTTTAGAAACCTTATATTTGAATACACACTGTTTTAAAAACCTGTCCTTTCATTACAAGCATGCTACAGTAACTAATCAAATGTTTGTTTTCTTTAGCTATATCTTATTGAATTTTTCATTTGAGGAAAGCACCAGTTGGGGAAGCCAAACATGAGCTATTACAAAATTCTGCAAGCAAAATCAACCTAAAGGCTTACACTGCAGTGATTCCAGCAGCAAGGACATACAAATCCAATCCATCAACACTGCCCCGGTCTCCCTTCTGTACTTTTGATGAGTGCTTGTCTGACTTCACTTAAGAATCCAAACCAGAGCCTTCCATGACTCCATTCTCAAGTGATTCTACTCCTAACTGAAAGGCTTCTGAGCAGAGCAGTAGAACTGGAGATCCCTCCCTTTGCCAGAATTCTGAGAGCAGTGCCATTCCGTCACCATGAACTTGCCTTCTGTGGGCAACCCAGCATACCGAGCACCATTTGTGGAGACCATGAAGGAGCTTGTGACTGGCTCAAGTCCCAGGAGTGGTGAACAGCAGAAATCAGCAGCTGCACACTAGGGCCACGGAGGGTGGACAGCTCCGCCTTTCTCCTCCGTGGCACCCAGAGCGGCCACGTGGGTGCCAGTTACCCACACCCTTATTTATGTCTTCCTTCTCAGTAAGCTCTGCAAACCAAGATCGCTAAAAGTTGCCGTTAAGGCAAGGGTGAAGGTCCATCCACCTACTCCAGGGGTTGATGCGGACTCACTGTGACATGGGGCACTGGGAAAGGGACAAGGTGCTGCTGGAAGTCCGTCACCACCATCACTGTCTTAATCTTCGGGGATATTTATTCTTCACCAGCCTGGCAATAATAATGACAGCTAACAGTTGATTGGATAACATACCCGGAGTTACTTAAATCTCAATGCTCATAACACCACCTTCAAGTAGACATTATTCCACTGTTCACGGACCATAAAACGCAGGCATGAAGAGATTAAGTAACTAACTGACTAGGATGGAAACCTCATTTCTCTGACCTCGGAGCCTATTCATCTAACCGTATCTTAATTAAATATACACAGTGTCTTTGCCGAGGTTCCTCAGAAAGCAGGGCGGCGGGCAGAAGGCGATACTGTTTAACTAGGAAGTGTAACCCCAGGGAAGAGCGGTGATGGGATGGGACAGGAAAGCGGCGGGGATGGGACAGGGAAGTAAGGAGAGCAGGCATAGGTTCGGTATGGTAGGAGCCACCGCTGACTGCTATTGAAGCCACTTCAACCGCCGCGTCTCTGTGGAGTGGAGGCAGCCGGGTTGATTGGAAGGTTCCTGCCCTCTGCTTCTCAGGCACTCACCCCTCCACACGCCCTCAGGTTGTCCATAGGTGCATATTAACCCACTGGAGTCCATTGGTGGAGATGAGAGGTGTGTGCCAGGGCCGAGGATGAAAGTATCTGATACTTAAAACGAGGCGCCTTGTCGGGGCGGGGCATGTGAAGTATGAGGATCTCAGGTAAGGATTTTCTGTTTTGCCTCATATGTGAACTAAGAAAGAACACCTAAAAAGGAGAAGAGGGACTACTAAGTAAGGAGAAGAGACCATCAGGAGGAGTTAGCAGGGGAATGAGAGGGAAGGGAGGAGGGGAAAAGAGTGGAGGAAAGAGGGTGGACATGATAAAATTATGATACATACATGTATGGAAATGTCACAGGGGAGGCCATTACTTTGCATAGTCAATATGCATTAATAATTGTAATTTTAAAAGCTGGGGAAAATGCAAATTTGAGGAGAAATTTGTACCAAATGACCACAGTGATTGAACCACAGAGCACTTCAGCTGGATTTCACTGAACGGATGGCTTGTGACTTCTTCCAAAAATATTGACTCTGAGGGTTCACAAGTGACCTCCAACTTATTGTTTTCCAGACACAAGATGAGTAACTTCAGATAGCATAGGGTCATAGTGAAGATTAATGTGGTAACCACAGTATGATTAATTGAATACCTCTGTGACACTTGTAATTCAGTTGTAATTCAGTTAACTTTCTCAATAAAATTTGTAGTTCAAAAACAGAAGTAGGGGGCTGGCACAATAGTTTAGCTGGTAAAGGCATTTGTGGCCATGCTTGGTGACCTGAGATCTGGAACCCACATGGTAGAAGTAGAGAACCCACTCCCACAAGTTGTTCTCTGACCTATACACACACACACACACACACACACACACACACACACACACACACACTGTGATATGCACATACTCCCTCCCCAGATAAACATAATTTAATTTAAAAAAAAACAGAAGAGGATCTCTCACATACATACTCTGTCATAATATTGGATTTCCAAATGGAGCACAAAGTCATAAACCATGTGAAGCCACGAAGCAATGAAGCTTGGAAATCACTAGTTACCCTGGGAAATCACCCAAGTCTTCCACAGGATTTAGAGTAATAAAGGGGCGAGTATGTTCACACTAAACTGAAACCATCTCATTGAATGGTAATTTGTATGATACAACTTAACAATGTTGTCCATGAGGGCAACTCAAAATCACTGTGGGGACAACTGGAAAGTTTTTCTTAATTCCCTCCCTCAGTGTTCTAACACTTCTGTACACACAGACCCACGCTGCTGCCCTTCCTATATCGCATATGATTATCGGTTACATGTCAGTCCCCTCACCCCATACCTGTGAGATCCTTGAGGGCGTGGGATGATTTCATAGCTCTTCAGATCTCTAGAACAGAGCTCTATAGGCCCTAGCATGCAGTAGGTCCTCAAGACTTATGTCAAGAGGAAACGGGAGGTGTGGAGAGTGGAGGCATAAAACTTCAAGGAAGGGAGGAGAGTAATCAGACCCAAAGACTGGGGAAGAATCTTCGGGCAGAGCTAAGGGCCAGCTGAGGTGATCAGTTGTGAAGGGGTTGGGGAGCTATCTAGCCACTGTGTGACTTTCTCCGCTACCACTTAGCTTGGGAGGAAGAGGTATCTTTAAACCAAGAGTTGTAGATATTAGTGGATTCAAGAGATCAGGATATTGAAATTTAATAGACTATTAAGTGATATTTTCTTCTCCCCGAGTTTCACCTGAGATCCTAGTTTATGAATAATAGGTTATAAATATTTGCAGGCTCTGGCCAAACATGGTGCCTCACACCTTTAGTCACAGCACAAGGAAGGCAGATTGACGCTTAGTGAGAACCTGTTTCAAAAATTAAAAAGTAAATTGCCTTACTTTTCTATTGCTGTGATAAAACACCATGATCGGCCGGGCAGCGGCGGTGGTGCACGCCTTTAATCCCAGCACTTGGGAGGCAGAGGCAGGTGGATCTCTGTGAGTTTGAGGCCAGCCTGGGCTACCAAAACAAGCTACACAGACATATCGAACTAAAAAAAAAAAAAAAAAAAAAAAAAAAAAAAAGTAAAACACCACGATCAAGGCAACTTATGAAAGAAAGAGTTAAATTTAGCTCAGGGCTTCAAAGGCCAGAATCCATTATGATGGAGTAATGCAACAGCTGAGGACTCACATCTTGATCCACAACCTTGAAGCAGAGAGCATTGGGAATCACAAGAGTCTTTTGAGCCCTCAAAGCCCGTCCCAGTGACACACCTCCTCCAACAAAGCCACGCCTCCTAATCCTTTTCAACCAGTCCCACTAACTGGGGACCCAGTAGTCAAACATATGAGCCTATGGGGGTCATTCTCGTTTAAGCCACCACATAAATAAATAAATAAATGTTTGCAGATTCAAACAGAAAGAGAGTTGAATCCATATCCAGGACTTGTCAAAAGATGGGCAAAACCCAATTCCATAGCCCTCCATCCACTGCTCATCTCTAGGCCACAACAATAAACACTCTTTCTTTTCAAAGAAAGTTTCTTTAAAAAAAAAATGTCACCAGGCGGTAGTGGTGCACACCTTTAATCCCAGCACTCAGGAGGCAGAGGCAGGTGGATCTCTGTGAGTTCGAGGCCAGCCTGGTCTACAAAGTGAGTTCCAGGAAAGGCTCAAAACTATACAGAGAAACCCTGTCTCAAAAAAAAAAATTGTCATTCTTGGAGTGGAGGTGGGGCGGGGATTTCATTTCACATCACTTTTCTAGGGGAGAAAGGAGATTGACAGTCACTACCTTCATGCAGAATGAGGGACTCTCATGAGGGTTGTAATTGGCAGAATTCTAAGATGGCCCTTTCAATAACCCACACCCTTCCCTTATAGAATCCTCTTCCCTTGCGTGTAAGTGAAACACACAGCTATGATGGGATGCTGTTCCTGTGATGTATTATATGACAGAAAGTATTCTTACAGATAGGACTGAGTGATCAGTCATTCCATCAAAGGGAATATAGGTGGGTCGTCCCCCCCCCCAGTCAAATGAGCAGGTCAAACCATGTCTAATCTACGAGATACATGCTTGCTTCTCTTGGAGAAAGCAAACAGCCATGTTGTGGACTATCTATGAAGGCTCACACGGCAAGGAACTGTGGGTGACCTCTGGAGGCTGAGACTGGTTCCCATCCAATGGCCAACAAGGAAGTAGGGACCTCAGATGGGAACATTCATTTCAAAGGAAATGAATTTTTCCAACAAGGACGGGGCATGAAAGAGGACCCCAAATCTTGGAATCTCAATTTGAAACCTTTAGCGGAGGTTTTCATGAACTCCACTCAAGGACCCTTGATCCACAAAACTGCAAATAAATGTTTGGGCCACTAAGCTTATGGAGATTGGTTAACATAGCAGTAGGAAATGAAAACGGGACCTGAGTGAAGTGTGGAGAGAAATCCCAGGAGGTACCCTATTGCTTTCCATCAGAAGTGAACAGTGACTACGCATGGTGCCTGATTCCCACCCTGAGACTTCTGTTAGTAACTATTGTCCGAAACCATTTCTGCCATGGCACGGGGAAGAGAGAAGCTGGCAGGGGGTTTATTTAGGGCCAAGCTGTCCTGCAGAGGTAGCTGGGTGCTAGACTTCTTCAGGGGACTCCATCCAAAAGAACGGTTTGCTGGGGTTAGGAATCAAAGCGTCCATCAGAGGTGAGAGTGTTAGGAGGGCATCAGAAGGCGAATTCTGATGACAGTGTGCAGTAGGAGGTCTGCTGAGTAGTGGGGGCGTCTCTGAGAACCCACAGAAGTTCTTTACAAAGAAACAATCAGTGAGAGATTGTTTGGATGGATTGATGGTGGTCCCTGATGACTAGCCAATATCTGCACTGACTATTTAAGAATTGTCCACCCCGAGGCACATTGGAAACATTCAGACACTTTTTGTTGTTATAGACAAGGTGTGGGGGTTGGGGGGGACTGATACTGAAATGTGGTGGGTGAAAGTTAAGGGTACTGTTACAGATCCTGTAATGCACAGGGCAGCCCCCACACAGAAATGTCCACATCCCAACTTACAGATAGTCCCTCTTCAGCTTGCTTCAACAGAGGCAGAGGCAGAGGCAGCAGAGAGAGAGAGAGATGGGGAGGAGGCAGAGGATAAGAAAATACCTCACTGTTTTCTAGACCACCATCCCTCAGCATCTCAGAGTCAGAGGCCAGCTTTGAACAGAATGACAGATGCAAATAACTGGCTTTTTAATGCCCTAGAACGAAACGTCTCTGTTAGCCACACATGACTAGAAAAGCTATGGGAAGCAACAATAGCAGAGGGCAGAGCGGGGCTTACAATTGAATGTTTGAGTCTGCTGAAATAGGAAATCAGTCAGGAGACGGCCTGAGCTCTTCCTGCTGGATTCAACTGGTTTACGCCACTGTCACAACAGAGGCCAGCTCCGAAAGGTGGCCTAGCTGAAAGGTGCCGTATTCAGAGGAGCCAGCTGGTATAACAGGGTAGACAGCTCGGTGAGGAATCAGGGACAGTTCTTACTATCGCAGCTTAAGGTCCCTAGTGGCAGAGCCTGAGGCAAGGATCCTGTATGTGCAATAGAGAGAGCAAGGGAATGTGACGAGGCAAAAGCCTTTCAACTCATTTCCCACAGCTGCTGTAAGAAAGTACCATAAACTGAAGAGCTTGAAATATGAAAATGTTCTCAGCTTCTCTGTTAAGGTCGAAACCTGAAATCAAAGTGTCTACACGATTGGTTCCTTCTGAGGGCACACACTGATGGAGAATCTGCCCATGCCTCTCTCCTGGCTTCTAGAACTGGCCAAAAATCTTTGTGGTTCCAGGACCTGTAGATGCGGCACTCTGATCTCTACTGCCATTGTATGTGGCACTTTCTGTGCTCCTCTGTATCATACAAAGGCACCAGTCATACAGTAGTAGAGAACCACTTGACTCTAGTACAACCTCCTCTTAACTAATTATACCTGCAAGAACCCTAGTTCCAAATTACAACGCATTCCAAATATGTAGCAACATATTTGGGGTGGGGGGTGTCACTCAATCTATGACATCTCTTATAGTATTAGAGCAAGGGAGAAATTTGGCAAAGGTAAGAGGTTAATCTAGAGCCCAAACAACATCACAGTCATCCCCTATTAAGGGAAGGAGTGAGCAGATTTCTATAGCCATTGAATGGACCAGCCAATGGCTTGGGGCTGTCCCTGAAAGGAAGATGCCCAAGTTCTAGCTTGGACCTCAGAGATACAGATGGCTGGACTCTGATCCTAAGTTTCTGACTCAGAAATCTACAGTATCATCTGAGAATTTGCATTTACAGCAGCTTCTTAGGTGGTTTGAATGTGAAGCAACCTGACAGACTCATGTGCTTGAACTTGGTCCC